GAAGAGGAAAAGGAGGAAGGGAGGAAGAGGAAAGAAAGGCAGGAAGGAAAAGAAGAAGATGAATTGGAGGAAAAGGAAATTGAGGAGGCGGTGAGGAGAATGAAGAAGAGGAAGGCGTTTGGAAAGGATGGAGTCCCCATGGAGGCATGGATGTATGCAGGGGAAGGGATGAAGAAAAGTTTAATGGAGTTGATGAGGCAGATATGGGAGGAAGGAGATATTCCAGGAGACTGGAGGACAAGTATTGTGGTACCGCTATATAAGAAAGGAGATATGGAGGATGTGAGAAATTATAGAGGGATATCGCTGTTGTGTACGGCGTATAAGATATACGCGGAAATATTAAGGAAAAGACTAGAGAAGGAGGTGGAAGAGAAAAAGATATTGCCAGAGAGTCAAGCGGGTTTTAGGAAAGGAAGATCGACGATAGATAATATTTTTGTGTTAAATCATTTAGTACAGAGGAAAGGAGAAAGAAGAGGAAAAGAGAGGTTATATGCTTTGTTTGTGGACATCAAAGCAGCTTTTGCTAATGTTAATAGAGAGAAGTTATGGGAGATAATGGAAAGTAAAGGGATAAATCAAAGGATGGTAGAAAGGGTGAAGAGGATATATGAAGAGACCAAGATGATAGTGAAAACAAGGAATGGATTTACGGACAGCTTCTGGACCAAAAAAGGAGTGAGACAAGGGTGTGCGTTGAGCCCGTTATTATTTAGTATATATATTGCGGAATTAGATAAGATGATGGAAAGGAGAGGTGTAGGAGGAATAGAATTAGGTAAAGATAGAATATGGAATATAGAGTATGCGGATGATATTGTGTTGGTAGCAAAGAACAGGGTAGCGATGTTAGATATGATGGACACGTTGAAGAAATTTTTAAAGGAAAGAAGGCTAGAGTTATCGACGGAGAAAACGAAAATAGTGGTGTTTAACAGGAAAGGTAGGGAGAGGAAAGAAAAATGGAAATGGAAGGATAAAGGGATTGAAGAAGTAAAGGAGTTTAAGTACTTAGGATTTACGTTTAATCAGGCAGGGAATTATAAGGCACATATAAGGGATTTGTATAAAAAAGGCAGGGTAGCTTTGAACAAGGTTTGGGGTTTGGGAGAAAGAATATGTAGAGATGATTTTGTAAGGAGATGGGCATTATTTAGATATCTAGTACAAAGTGTGATGTCGTATGGGGTAGAAATATGGGGGTGGGAGGAAAAAGAGAAATTAGAAAGAATCATGATGGATTATGTAAGGTGGATTTTTAGATTGGATTTCTGTACACCGAGGTATATAATTATGTATGAACTAGGAATGGAAAAATTGAAAATAGGATGGGGTATAAGGGCGAAAAGGTATGAAGAAAAAATTAGGAACAGTAGTGAAGAGAGACTAATCAAAAAGTGTTGGGAAGAAAAGGAAGAAAGGGGAGGGAAAGATTTATATTGGAAGGAAAGGGAAAGTTATTATAATAGGAATGGATGGGGTGTAGAAAGAGTTAAGGAAGGAATGGAAGGAGGGTGGGATATGGAGGGAGAGATAGTAAAAAGGGAAAGAGACGTGCAAAAACAGTGGATAGAAAGTAAGATTAGGGAGGCAAAGTATAATAAAAGGTATAAAGATATAAGGAAGATAGGGGAGGGACATAAGTATTTGGAAAAGAGCAGTTTGATAAGGATGGGAGCAAAGGCGGGGGGAGAAGTGAGAGCGCTTATTAAGTTAAGGTGTGGTAATCTGGAGTTAAAAAATAAATATTGGTTAGAGGAGGAAGAGAGAAGGTGTGTAATGTGTGAAAAGGAGCAGGATGAGATGTATCATTATATGTATACATGTGAGTGGGGAAAGAGATGGTTCGAGGAGATGGATAGTATGGAAGGTAGGGGAAAAGAAAGGATATGGGATGATGAAATCGATGAGATTAAAGGGAAAGTATTAAAAAGAATGTGGAGAGAAAGGGAGGGTAAAATCAAAGAGAAAGAAAGAGAAGAAGAAGGAGAAAAAGAAAAAGAAAAAGGATAAAGTGAAAAGGGGTAAAGGAAAGAAGAAAGAGAGAGGAGAATTTAATGTGATATAGATATAGAAAGTATGGAAGAATGGAAAGGATGAAAGAATGGAGGATGTGTGGAATGTGTGAGGTAGTTGTTTAATGTAAACCAAGTCCCCTTCTTGGCTATTTAATGTATAAAGCTGAATGGTAATAAATTTTATATATATATATATATATATATATATATATATATATATATATATATACATATATATATATATATATTAAAATCTTGATATACTGAAATTATAAGATCCAAACTAAAATAATAAAAATTTAAATTGTTTAATAAATGTGGACAAATTAATCTTATTTCTTAGATTTATTAGAATTACATGATTTCATTCCTCGTGAAACGTAAAAATACAAAAATAATAATAAATTATTTTGTATGATTACTTTTTTAAAAAACGCAAAAATCCTTATTTCTCAAGTGTGAAGTTTAAATTTAATAATTCTAACAGTAACAATTATTAATAATTTCAGGAATCAGCTGTGTAGTAAAAATCAATATAATAAAAATCAATATAACTGTGAAGTCGATAACAAATGATAAAATAATGTGTGTGTTGTATGATTACGGGCTTGAGTGCGCAAATTCTACACGATATTACTGGTCGGACCAATCTTTGATCGATTATAATTCAAAAACTATTGTAGCCCCGACATTTTTGTATTAGGGTTTTTTACTCTACTTTATCTTCAGAATACGTTATTAAAATACCTTATGATAGTTGTGAGACACTCTGTATATATATTAGGATGGTTCTTCGACTCTCAAATTTTTTCTGCGGCATCCTCCAAAAAGTTTTTATTTGAAAAAATGCCGGCTAAACTTTTTTTCGATAACGAGAACCTATGTCCCGGATTGTTAAACATTGGAGTACACTTAAATTAAGCTGTCTACGTTATCAATATATTATCAGTATATACAGGATGTCCGAAACTTTTCTTGACACAAGTCGTAAGAACGTAGAATGGATTAAAGGGAACAGAAAAGTCAAATATCATTTTGCGAAATTTGCAATAATTTTCAAGGAATTAATTATTTTGTCTGAGCAAATAAGCCTTCGAGCCGGCGCGTAACTGATACGCGTGAATAGCGGCGCGCGATTATAAAACGCGAATCGCGACGCGCTGCGTCCCTCCGCCCATAGTTACGATGTATCTCGTAGCCATAGTTACCATAGTTACGAGATACAGCGTAGCTATGGGCGGAGGGACGCAGCGAGCGGCGATTCACGTATATCACGGTCGTGCGCCGGCCCAAATGCTAATTTGCTGAGACAAAATAATTAATTACTCGAAAACTATTAACTATAACTATATAAGTTTCGCAAAATGGTATTTGACTTTTCTGTTCCGTTTAATCCGTTCTATTTTCCTATGAATTGCGTCAAGAAAGGTTTCGGACACTCTATATATTATACTACGTCATCAATATATATATATATATATATATATATATATATATATATATATA